TTGTAAATCACAAAAAAAAGTCCATGGGTTCAGAGGAAAGTGAGGCAGGCATATGCCTGGAAAACTACTGCCTTGTAGAGAACTCSTTAGTTTCTGAAACAAATAATAAAGCCTGGGCCCGTTTCCTTCAGAGGGCACAGGCTCCAGTCTTTAGCAGAGGGTTACACACAAACTGTCCCAGAATGCAAGGCAAATATATTTAACTCATACAGCAGAACAACTCAGAGAGCTCACAGCAATTCTCTGAGGTAAAAACACTCTTCAGGACTGTGAAAATGGCAGGCTTCTGATGAAAAATCTTGTGCTGCTTTCTAACAAAAATTCRAAGTGATATCAAAATTTCCTGTGAAATCATGAAACTGGGGCTTGCTGTGGTTTACARGACTTTGGAGGTTCTACTTTCCTGTTTGAAGTGACTGAGACATCTGCCWGAGTTCAGTGAGAGTAAAAACTGGAGATCTGGCAATGCCTTTGGGGATTCCGGACTGCATGTGAGTAACTTGAGCTTTTGGTGCAAGTTTGTTCTCTAAATGTAAAAACTCTCACTGTGTTGGATAAATTCAATCTGCATCTCAGTTTGTAGATGTGCTAGAGGTTCTGCAGCCTTTACAATCTGTCATATAAATCCATATCCAAGTGTCAATGTGTGAAGGGGCTGCTTAAGAGGTTCTCTGGGTGAAAGCAAGAATGGAATTTCCAGAGGAAATGCTATCAAAGATGAATAATTTGTCTACTTAGCCAGATGTTTTAGAAATAAGATGCTGACAGTAAGAGTCATTWGAATGCAACAGGGTTATTTTTTATTTTTTTTTTTTACCTGTAACTCAGAACTACCAGAACTGGGAGTTCAAACAGAAAAATCTGCTGAAAACAAACTACTGAAATTGAGCCTCAGATTCAGGTAAGACAACATCAACCTCCTTGTACCTTCAAAGCTTGTTAATTTTAATGGTAATTTTGASTATGCATGGAAAGGGGCCTCAAGTAGGTACAGGATGCAAGAATATTGCTTTTGAGGTAATTCCTGTGAGCACCATCATTATACGCTGCTGTTGATCACAGTTTTTTATGTTTCTCATTTTCCTTGCCTTTCACCCTCTGAAAGGCCAGCTTTTTTCTTTGTGTGGTTTAACTCAAAAAGTTTTTTTTTAACTCAAAAACCACTCGCCTCCAGTGAACAAGGCGAGTGTGAGTGGTTCAGAAACCACCTTTGACATTGGCTTTAACCCTCTTTTCCTTTGTCACATCACTTATGCATTGCTCAAGTTTTCCACTCTTTATAGGAGAGAATTGATGTAGGCCATAAAAATTTACTGGAAAGAGGACATCAACCCCCTTTAATGCCTAATCTGGCACCCTTTACTTATGCAAATTTAATCARTGGACAAATGCTCTGACCACAGCAGCTGCACTAACACAAACAACATCAAAGACTTKGTCAAAGTTGCTCTGAAACAACTCTAGGATCACTGAAATGCAAGATTTGGCCTCTGGCTTCATATTAACATCCATTCACTAACTTGAGTAAGATTTTAAAACTGGATCCTTTTCCTCCCCAAATCAGAGCCCAGCACACCCATAATCCAGCAAAG